AGACCTTGAAGCATTTTTTCGACACCATCAGTAGAAACTACTATATGTTCCATTGGAGAAGTACAGGGCTGACCTAGAAATGGCATATCTGTGGTGTCTTCCTCTGTGAAAACACTTTTGAACTGTGAACTGAGTACTTCCGCCTTTTCCCTCTGTCACTGATGATGGTATTTCCCACCTTTAGGGGTGCTACCCCGACAAGGTCTTTCCTTAGTCCTTTTATGTACGACCAGAATGTTTTGGGTTTGTCAACTATAGCTTCTCCCAGTATGTCTGCCACGTATTTAGAGTGTGCTTGTCTTATGCTTTTCTGAATTCCCTTCTTAACTCTCTTATATTTGTTCCAGTCTTCCTCTTGTCCTGTTTTCTTAGCTTTGTTATAGAGCCGCTGCTTCTAATACCCCCGTCACATTGCGCGTAAATCGATCGGCCGACTAGTTGGCGAGCTCTAAATGACATTTACGGCCGTAGTACGCCCGATGTTCCGTCGAGCATCGCGCGAATTTTCGGAATCGCCGGCGATTTTTTGGAGTCGGCCGAAGCTCGCTGACACGCGAAACGTGTTCTTAACATCAGCGACTAGTCGCCGGCGATTTTTGAGGTCGCAGAGCTCGTTTCCAGCTCGCGCGTAGCTCGCCGGTAGCTCGCCCCTGTGCGGACGAGAGTCGACCGATATTCGGGCGTACATCCCACGAGTCTCGGCCGTATTTCGTCTTTGAAAATCGGGCGACGGTCGCTGAATACGGTCGACCCTCGCGCGAGCTTCGCGAAATGTTCGGACGACCCTCTTTCGTACCTCGCCCGACTTGCGCAAAGTTTTTAAACTCGTGCGTGCTTCGAGCGAGCTTCGTGCCAGTGTCGGACGAAGGTTCTACGAGCCTCGGCCGAGCTCCTGCGAAGTTATTATTTATTCAGCACCTGTGACATTTATTTGAGATTGCATTGACAGTATACTGTGTAAAGTTTGCAGGAGCAACGTCCCATTGATTGTTAACGTTATATTTACGAGAAAGGATAAAAATAGACAAAATCGTCCTTTTTGTCCTTTTGTTAAATCAACATTCGTTGATAAACAAAATCACTTTAAAAAGATGATGTGGTTTTAACTATATAAGACCAAATGCCTAGATTATTGAACGCACATGAAATTCTTTACTCTTGTCCAGTTAGGAGGTGTGTGGCCTTATTTCAGATGGCTGTATAATAAATTGACGTTTACACTTGTTCATTCTGGAATGGGGTTGACTTTTTTCTTAGGGGGCCCACAAGAACGTCATGTGATAGATATTACTTACTAATTGAAGTTTATATTGCATGGGTCTTTTTACCTTTGTCTACTTTGTTGACATTGAATGGCTTGTTTACCGGAAGATTCATACTATTTTAGACAGAAGTATACAGGCAAAGTTTTAGAACAATTTATCTTATTAGCTTTGTTCAGGTACGCGTGTATAAAAAGATTTTGAATCGTGCGAGCATCGATAGATCGTCGACCGTAACTGTACGCCCGTGTGTCGAGCGAGCTTCGGCCGACTCCTGTCTGGTTAAAAAGGTGGTCGTTGTGTTAACCAGACGGTAGTGTAAATTTGTGGCTCTTGTGGTAGTATTTGAGTTGGATCTGTCACAGAATTCCTGTTTATATTTATATCTTATTCTGCCAGTCCGCTCCATTACTTTGCTAAAAAATACTACGAAACGTCAAACATAAAAATTGGTCAAACTATTCATTTTTAGGTGGATACACTGGCCTTGCTTCATCTGCTTGCCATGTCACAGGGACTTCATTATCATAGATGTATTCCCAAGCGATCGCCCGAGCCTCGCACAATGTGACCGCGACGATTTTCAAGCCAAAAATACGCGCGATCGTCGGTCGATCTCAAAATCGGCCGATCTTTCGGCGATTGACAAATACGGCCGAAGCTCGTCGACAATGTGACGGGGGTATTACGACAGTGCCTCCTTAGGTTTCTGTTGAACCAAGGCAAGTTGTATCTGCTTGATGTTATCTTACTTGGGATGTGCTTGTTCATCGTGTCTTTCATTTTGTCTTTGAAGTCTGACCACTTCTGTGTAACTGACATATCCTGAGTTCTTTTGTGAAAGTTATTTGCATAATCCTTTAGGTCTTTCTTAATGGCTGGTTCGTCGGCTTTTGTACGGATGTACACTTTTCTCTTAGGTTTCCTGTTTTGTTTCAGTGCCAGGTTAACGTCCACTAGAACCATGTCGTGGTCACTTATCCCCGGGACTACTGTGGTCTTCTCAATTATGTTGGGGTTATTAACTAAGACCAGATCCAAGAGATTACCATTTCTAGTTGGTTCCTGGACTGTTTGAAATAACCCGTGGTTATCCATTAGGTTTAGTAGTTTCTCTGCTTGGCCTGTGTAGGCCTGACTGTTGTCAGCTACAGTAGTATCCCATTTTATGCCAGGGGTGTTGAAATCGCCAAGAATGATCACATTGTCAGAGTTTATTTTTGCTCCCAAGTTTGTCGAGGTAACCACACTTTCGTTTATCATTTGGAATGCATTATGTATAATTTAAAAGCTTGCTCGTTTCCATTTTAGAGCAATTCAGTAAATAGTAATGACCAAGCCCACGTATTTCTGACGCAAACACTACAGTTGACTATGCTTAAAGATAGCAATTCCTGTTTTCAAAACATTTTGCGCCGAGTGTTTTGGTAGTCCACATAAAGCATATTCCACTAACCTACAGTTGGTGTCACTGGAAGACAGACGAAAAATGTCAAGACTATACATGATGTACAAAATGACTAATAAACTGGTGGACGTCCCAGTTACTAAGTACCTAATACCAGCCCAGAAGAGAACAAGAAATAGCCATGCCTTCAAGTACCAGAGTAACCAGGGATCGAGGTGTTCAAGAATTCATTCTTTCCTAGAACTATCGCAGAGTGGAATTCGCTGTCACCAAGTACAGTGGGGCATTGTCATTGTATAGCTTTAAACAATGTCTAGTTAGATGTTCAAGGGTTAGGTGTAACAAGTCGATCGGTGTAATGTAGGCAGCTGCCGCCGCGCCGCGTGCCTGCGAAGCTGGTGTGTCGCGCCGAAAGGCGCTTATCCCGGCTATACAGATACAGATACAGATTATGTACAGTTTTCGTCGAGGTATGTGTTTGTTTTAAAGTAAAGATATTATATATAAATGTAAGGTGTGTGTGCATTGCTAGTTTTTAATTTGAGAGAAGTGTTCAACTTATAATGTATGTATGGTTAGATGAAGGCTGATGCAGTAGTGAGAACTTCGAATCTGTCTGAACCTGACAAGACAGATTGGACAAATGATTTGACGACCGAAGAGGAATATCAGGTGAGAAAAATCCCAATTATGCATTTTACCTACAGTTAATTTGATTTGAGACAAGTGCGCAACTTCTAATGTCTGTGTATAGTTAGGTGATGACTGATGCAGTAGTGAGGACTACTGTCTGAACCTGACAAGACAGATTGGACAAATGATTTGACGACCGAAGAGGAATATCAGGTGAGAAAAATCTGAATTCTGCATTTTACCTACAGTTAATTTGATTTGAGACAAGTGCGCAACTTCTAATGTCTGTGTATAGTTAGGTGATGACTGATGCAGTAGTGAGGACTTATACTGTTTGAACCTGAGAGATTGGACCAGACAAGATGATTTGAAGACTCAAGAGGAATATCAGGTGAGAAAAATTCCAATTCTTCATTTTACCCACCATTTAGTTGGTATTATTTGAAACAAGTGTGTAACATTTAATGTCTGCATAGTTAGGTGACTGCCGACTTACATAGGAGTGAAGACTACTGTCTGAACCTGACAAGAGAAGATTGGACCAGATGATTTAAAGACCCAAGAGGAATATCAGGTGAGAAAAATCCCAATTATGCATTTTACCTACAACTGTATGGTCTTATTTGAGACAAGTGTGTAACTTCTAATGTCTGTATAGTCAGGTGTCTGCTGACTGATGCAGTAGTGAAGACTCTTGTCTGAACCTGACAAGACAGATTGGACCTGACCAGATGATTTGATGACCCAAGAGGAATATCGGGTGAGAAAAATTCCAATTCTGCATTTTAACTACATGTACCATTTACTTGGTATTATTTGAGACAAGTGTGTAACTTTTAATTTCTGTACACATTGTAGTTACATGTACTGTAGGTGGCTGCTGACTGATGCAGTACTAGTAGTGGGGACTACTGCCTGTACCTGACAAGACAGACTGGACTAGACCAGATGATCTGAAGACCCAAGAGGAATATCTGGTAAGACAAATCCCAATTTTGAATTTTAACTACAGCTATTTGATGTTATTTGAGACAAGTGTGTAACTTATAATGTCCGTATATTTAGGTGGAAGCTGACTGATGTAGTAGTGGTGAATTCTTCATAAACCTGACAAGAGAAGGTTGGACCAGACCAGGTGATTTGAAGACCGACAATGACTCTCAGGTGAGAAAAATCTGAATTTTGCATTCAACCTACTATTTACTTTATTTGAGACAAATGTGTAACTTCTAATGTCTGTATAGTTAGGTGGCTGCTGACTGATGCAGTATTGAAGACTACTGTCTGAACCTGACAAGAGAAGATTGGACCAGATCGGGTGATATAGAGACACAAGAGCAAAATGACAACAACATCCACAGGTAAGATAATGATTGCTTTTGAAGATCTGTTTGACTCTAGCACTCTTCCCTTATGTCTTACACTTTATGAAAATAACACACATGTAGCAAAACATTTTTCACATTAACTTTGTATTGCCTTTGACTTGAATAAATGACTAGTATATTAGACTTCTTGAGCACTTGTGAACATTTCTAGGAAGAGGCAAAGTAAAAGGTCGCGTACAAGAGATCATCTTTACCTCGAAGCTAGTTAGACTATTCATATACAATAGCCATGTACCTGGCATCAATTGTTCTTTTATAATAATGTAGGGATCAGCAGTCCTGATGTTCCTGTCCAAACCAGGCTAGATGAGACAGCTGACTTTGAAGTTGAAGACAGAGTGAAGAGTTTGTACAGGTGAGACAATGCTTTCCAACTTTATTTTTTTTGTGTGTTAAGAACTGAGAGGCAATAAAAAGCTACACATCTAAGCAATCAATCAACCGCAAGCATCATCTACGCAAAGAAATAGTTAAATTGCAGGATTTTATCATTATCTTTCATAGTCACCTAGTTGCCTGGAAATTTGGGGGAGGGGAGCATCACACATCACACTAGTTATTCATTATATTAGTTAGGTGTGTCCTGACGTTCCTGTCCTGACTAGGAAAAACCTGCGATGACGGCTGAGCAAACCAGTTGACCTGAAGACACAGAGTTTGTACCTGGTTATGCAGGTGAGACAATACTTAACAACAGTGTCATAGATGTTTCCTTTCCTATTGGATGTATTATTAAGAGCTTTGGCATAGCTATACGATAACACTTTGAAAAGCCTATCTTTTTGTGCATCGATTCAAGCAATTTGCTTGACAACTTACTTGACTTATCCCTTGCCTCACATGTTATTATTAATAAGAACTGAGGTGTAACATGCTACAAGTACAATGCATTTCGTCACACTTTTAAAAGCAGTTTTCTAGAGCCTAAGTCTTTCAAAATCTATTCAATCAATGGGATAGTTGAATTGCATGATGCTATCATTAGTTTGGCTATTCAGTGTTGCCTGGGGATGTTTCTCTATCACACATCCTTTTATATTATTTTTAGGTGTGTGCTGAGGCTGTCCAGTCTGTGAGAAACCTGCGATGACAGCTCAACAAACCATTTGACTTGAAGATGCAGAAGGAAATGCAGACAGCAAAGTAGTGAGAGAAGACATACAGTGGGCACAGTTGTAACTTGTGAGTATAGGTTATTTGTTCAGCAACACACCTAGGCTAATAAATTTCTATCCTATAATCCAATCATTCAGTCACAAAAGCTTTCACTGCTTTTAATTGCATACTATGTCACACTTTTCTAGACTCCTTTTCACATCTTCAAACAACTAGTCTGACAAAAGAGGTTACATTGTATAATGTCTCCAGTATAACCTCCTTGGTCCCACATTGCACTTTTAGCCATTTGAGATACAGCACGTCACACTTTTTGCACTGTGCTTTGGACCTTTACAGGCAGTATTTAGCTCAATTCTTACTGTCATAAACGTGCATGTTATTGGACATAAGATGTTGCATTAGTAAGGCCAATTGCTGTTGTCAATACAGTGACTTTTGTTTCTCTGTCTTCAAGATGCGGACCCGGAGACTGGACTGCAGCAGGAGGAAGAACCAGACTTTTGTAGACAAGGCTGCGTGAAAGAAGATGGGGAGGGGTGAGTATGGTTTCTTTATTAACACGGGACAACACTCCACATGCACACACTTGCACTCACATTTCTCTTTTCTCTTGCACTCACATTTCTCTCTTTTTCTTTTAACGTTTATTGTAGCCGGCGACTTCAATTTCATGTTAAGCAACACTGAAAAATTACTCATATTGTATGGTTGAATGCCAAATTGTCCCTAAATTGTTGCTTCAGACCTTTGCACTTAAATTCTCCCGCCGAAAAACTTAGTAACTAATGCTTAGTTACCCTCTTCGTATCGTATCGTATGAATTCCAAAATTGTCGCTTTGGACCTTTACACGTAAATTCTCCTGCCGACAAACTTCGTATCTTAGCTGGCCGCATTAATTCCTTAGCCACCCTCTTCATATCGTATAAACCCCAAATTGCCCCCAAAATTGTTGCTTTAGACCTTTCTTTACACTTAAATTCTCCCGCCAAAAAAATCAAGTAGCACCCTCGCCTGTTTAATTGGATTAAGTTTTCCCGCCAAAAAACTTAGTATATAGAGCTCTCCAACCTTGAACTTGCGCCCCCCTCCCCACTCTTCCTGACCACCTCCCACACTTCTTCCACAACACAGAGCATGTTAGTTACACTGTTCTCTGGACTTCTTCTAACATGTAGTCACCACATTCTGCTACACAAACACTTTGTTGATCGAGTGCAGTTTTTCCACCACTTAGACTTAAGAATAATCTCTCACTCTCCTGGTCGGTCAATTGCACTGGTATACTGATGTGTCGAAGCATCAATGTCTCCGAAAAGACATCCCCGGGGAGTACACTTTAGTGCATTAACCAAGGAGAGTGAGAGATTATTCTAAAGTCTAAGTGGTGGAAAAACTGCACTCGATCAACCAAATGTTTGTGTAGCAGAATGTGGTGACTACATGTTAGAAGAAGTCCAGAGAACAGTGTAACTAACATGCTCTGTGCATGGAAGAAGTGTGGGAGGTGGGCAGGAAGAGTGGGGAGGGGGGGCACAAGTTCAAGGTTAGAGAGCTCTATACTAAGTTTTTTGGCGGGAAAACCTAATCCAATTAATTAACCAGGTGACGATGGCAATTAGTTTTCGTTTGAAGGGGAAATGGTCTGAAGAAGGAATTAGTGTGGGATTAATAAAAAGACAACTTTTTTGGCGAGAGAATTTAAGTGTACAGAAAGGTCTAAAGCGACAATTTTGGGGCAACGACAACAATGCAGCCGGCTGTAATACGACGATTTTCGGTGGGAGAATTAAAGTGTAAAGGGGCAATTTGGCATTCATACGATACGAAGAGGATGACTAAGGAATTCATGGGGCCGACTAACATAAGAAGTTTTTCGGCGAGACAATTCAAGTGTAAAGGTCCAAAGCGACAATTTTGGGGGCAATTTGGGATGCATAAGAAATGAAGAGGATGACTAAGGAATTCATGCGGCCGGCTAAGATTCAAAGTTTTTCGGCGAGAGAAGTTAAGTGTAAATCTAAAGCGACAATTTTGGATTCATACAATGTTAAAAAGAGGATAACAACGTGGAATTCATGCGGCCGGCTTAGATGCGAAGTTTTTCGACGGGAGAATTTACGTGTAAAGGTCCAAAGCGACAATTTTGGAATTCATACGATACGAAGAGGATGACTAAGTAATTAATGCGGCCGGCTAAGATTCTTTAATTTAAGTGCAAAGGTCTGAAGCAACAATTTAGGGGCAATTTGGCATTCAAAAATACAATATGAATAATTTTTCAGTGTTGCTTAACATGAAATTGAAGTCGCCGAAGAAAAAAAGAGAAATGTGAGTGCAAGAGAAAAGAGAAATGTGAGTGCAAGTGTGTGCATGTGGAGTGTTGTCCCGTGTTAATAAAGAAACCATACTCACTCCTCCCCATCTTCTTTCACGCAGCCCTGTCTACAAAAGTCTGGTTCTTCCTCCTGCTGCAGTCCAGTCTCCGGGTCCGCATCTTGAAGACAGAGAAACAAAAGTCACTGTATTGACAACAGCAATTGGCCTTACTAATGCAAGATCTTATGTCCAACAACATGCAAGTTTATGACAGTAAGAATGGAGCTGCCTGTAAAGGTCCAAAGCACAGTGCAAAAAGTGTGACGTGCTGTATCTCAAATGACTAAAAGTGCAATGTGGGACCAAGGAGGTTATACTGGAGACATTATACAATGTAACCTCTTTTGTCAGACTAGATGTGAAAGGGAGTCTAGAAAAGTGTGACATAGTATGCAATTACAAGCAGTGAAAGCTTTTGTGACTGAATGATTGGATTATAGGATAGAAATTTATTAGCCTAGGTGTGTTGCTGAACAAATAACCTATACTCACAAGTTACAACTGTGCCCACTGTATGTCTTCTCTCACTACTTTGCAGTCTGCATTTCCTTCTGCATCTTCAAGTCAAATGGTTTGTTGAGCTGTCATCGCAGGTTTCTCACAGACTGGACAGCCTCAGCACACACCTAAAAATAATATAAAAGGGTAATAGAAGGATGATAGAAAAACATCCCCAGGCAACACTGAATAACCAAACTAATGATAGCATCATGCAATTCAACTATCCCATTGATTGAATCGATTTTGAAAGAGTTAGGCTCTAGAAAACTGCTTTTAAAAGTGTGACGAAATGTATTGTACTTGTAGCATGTTACACCTCAGTTCTTATTAATAATAACATGTGAGGCAAGGGATAAGTCAAGTAAGTTGTCAAGCAAATTGCTTGAATCGATGCACAAAAAGATAGGCTTTTCAAAGTGTTATCGTATAGCAAGCTATGCCAAAGCTCTTAATAATATATCCAATTGGTTAAGGAAACATCTATGACACTGTTGTTAAGTATTGTCTCACCTGCATAACCAGGTACAAACTCTGTGTCTTCAGGTCAACTGGTTTGCTCAGCCGTCATCGCAGGTTTTTCCCAGTCAGGACAGGAACGTCAGGACACACCTAACTAATATAACGAATAGCTAGTGTGTCTCAAATAACAAAGTAAATAGTAGGTTGAATGCAAAATTCAGATTTTTCTCACCTGAGAGTCATCGTCGGTCTTCAAATCACCTGGTCTGGTCGAATCTTCTCTTGTCAGGTTTACGAAGAATTTACCACTACTGCATCAGTCAGCAGCCACCTAACTATACGGACATTTATTACACACTTGTCTCAAATAACATCAAATAGCTGTAGGTAATTATAAAATGCAGAATTGAGATTTTTCTTACCTGAATTTGTTTCCTCTTGGGCCTTCAAATCATCTGGTCTGGTCCAGTCTGTCTTGTCAGGTACAGGCAGTAGTCCCCACTACTAGTACTGCATCAGTCAGCAGCCACCTACAGTACATGTAACTACAATGTGTACAGACATTAAAAGTTACACACTTGTCTCAAATAATACCAAGTAAATGGTAGTTAAAATACAGAATTGGAATTTTTGTCACCTGATATTCATCTCGGGTCATCAAATCATCTGGTCAGGTCCAATCTGTCTTGTCAGGTTCAGACAATAGTCTTCACTACTGCATCAGTCAGCAGACACCTAACTATGCGTACATTAGAAGTTACACACTTGTCTCAAATACGACCATACAGTTGTAGGTAAAATGTATAATTGGGATTTTTCTCACCTGATATTCCTCTTCGGTCTTTAAATCATATTGTCCAATCTTCTCTTGTCAGGTTCAGACAGTAGTCTTCACTCCTATGTAAGTCGGCAGCCACCTGACTATGCAGACATTAAACGTTACACACTTGTTTCAAATAATACCAAATAAATGGTGGGTAAAATGAAGAATTGGAATTTTTCTCACCTGATATTCCTCTTGAGTCCACAAATCATCAGGTCTGGTCCAATCTGTCTTGTCAGGTTCAGACAGTATAAGTCCTCACTACTGCATCAGTCATCACCTAACTATATACAGACATTAGAAGTTACACACTTGTCTCAGCTCAAATTAACTGTATTGAATTCAGATTTTTCTCTCCTGATATTCCTCTTCGGTCTTCAAATCATTGGTCCAATCTGTCTTATCAGGTTCAGACAAGAGTCTTCACTACTGCATCAGTCAGCAGCCACCTATTGAGTAACTATACAGACAATAGAAGTTACACACCTGTCTCAAATAAGACCATACAGTTTCAGGTAAAATGCATAATTGGGATTTTTCTCACCTGATATCACTCTTCGGTCTTTAAATCATCTGGTCCAATCTTCTCTTGTCAGGTTCAGACATGTAGTCTTCACTCCTATGTAAGTCGGCAGCCACCTAACTATGCAGACATTAAACGTTACACACTTGTTTCAAATAATACCAAGTAAATGGTGGGTAAAATGAAGAATTTGAATTTTTTTCACCTGATGTTCCTCTTGAGTCTTCAAATCATCTGGTCTGGTCCAATCTGTCTTGTCAGGTTCAGTCAGTATAAGTCCTCACTACTGAATCAGTCATAACCTAACTATATACAGACTTTAGAAGTTACACACTTGGATGCACAAAATGCAGAATTCAGATATTTCTCACCTGATATTCCTCTTCGGTCTTCAAATCATTTGTCCAATCTGTCTTGTCAGATTCAGACAGAAGTCCTCACTACTGCATCAGCCATCATCTAACCATACATACATTATACGTTGAACACTTCTCTCAAATTAAAAACTAGCAATGCACACACACACACACACACACACACACACACACACACACACACACACACCTTAAATTTATATATGATATCTTTACTTTAAAACAAACACATACCTCGACGAAAACTGTACATTATCTGTATAGCCGGGATAACCACCTTTCGGCGTGACACACCAGCTTTGCAGACACGCGGCGCGGCGGCAGCTGGCTACAGTTCACCGATCGACTTGTTACACCTAACCCTTGAACATCTAACTCTAGACATTGTTTAAAGCTATCTAATGACAATACTCCTACTGTACTTGCGATTCCACTCTGCGAT